TAATGAGCAGGAGGTCTAAAATTAGAGATGACAGTTGTAGATCAGAGAAAGAGGTTGCACTAGTCAGGTTGCAAACCAAGTGTTTTGACTTTAATGTCATCCAAATCAAAAAAAGAGCTCGATCTGTGACAGATTTAGGTAGACAGCGACAGTCCACTGCAATCGACTTCTTTAGAATGGCGAGTGATGAAGCTTAAGAGGCTAACGAAATAAGAAACCAAACTCAAGAAAGGAAGAAATAGAGGGACTTAAGTCCGATCTATGACCAGATGAAGGAGGAGGCATGGAGGGGAGATGGTGGAGAGATGAAGGAGTGAGATGAGAGTGCTTAAGTAGAAGAGATGGGAGTGACAATAATGAGCCTTAGTTGCGCACGGCAAGAATGAATAATGGAAGGTATCATGGTCAAATACAAAAGTAGGTACCAATCATTAATACTCTGTTGATCACATTTACATTAGAAAAGCTACCCAATTGAGCTTTCAAAAATTCATGTTCAGCCCATCCTAAAAGTCCTTTCTAAAAGTCCTTTTGCTTTGAAAAAAAAATCCCAAATAGCTTTTCACATCCCAAAAGTGGGAAAGTGCTTTTAGGATGTGAAAAGCTATTTTTCCAAATGATCCCTTTAATAACTTTACAAAACCACATCTCCCTTTATCAAGGTGACGTGGATTTAAATTTTGACATCATTTTTTATGGAAAGCGACATTAATAATTTTACATATTCGATAGTTATTTATAAAATTGTCACTGCCTCTATTTTTATTTCACTTTTAAAATGTATAATTTGTAGTAGTGTCACTAAATGGCCATATTCATAAACAGACCAATTTAATGGCCATGATATAGCCAGCTGTCGACAATTACAAATATGATATAAAACATATTTAGTTTGAAACTAAATTTAATATGAAAAATTAAAAGATCTAGAAATATTATTTAGTCAAACCTATATTAATGATTATCTCCATATATAAATTAATAAACACTTATGCGATGAAATTTTAATTGCATGCATGAACAACTTCAAAACTATGTACTTACTTTAATACTCCCCTTATTATAATTTATAGTGATTTGTAATCTTAATTATTGATTCATGATTCAAAGTTGTTGGTATAAAGAATTTAGTAATAATTAAATTTTGGGTTACAAAAATGTCCCTAAACTTTTTTACAAGGAGTGTCTAATATCCTAAACCTTTCTTTAAAGCAATGTTGCCATGAAACTTCACAAAGCATACAATTTTACCTAACCATTAACTTAGACTGACCCTTAATTGTTAATTTTACTTTGACCGCATATGTCATTTTCTCGCTTTTCCTAAAGGGTTTGTCGTTCCATCTTCTTCCTTCTCTTCTTGAAGCCACGCTCTAAGCTACTTGATGCTTCCAATCACCCCTTGTGGTTGCAACTCTACTCTTGCCTGATAATTCAAGTTCACCAAACCCACATTCTTCATCATTTGAATGAAAGTCTTAATAGATACCCTATCCAGTGAGTTCGAGAATATAGCCGCAAAAGATTAGTAGCTCAAATTCTCTAGCAATGGCTTCTTAGGTAAACAATTTGGCAATGATCTAGTCATCCCCTAAATCAACTTTGGCTCATAATTGATAGCGCATAGAAAGTTCACTTAATCTTTGTTGGTAATATCGTATACCAAACCAAGATCCATAGTTTGTTCTAGATTGACAAGCTCAACACCAAAATCAAATGGTATGGAAGTTTTCATGGTAACTTTATTAATTATGAGCTGGTTAATCAAAGTCGTCATTATTACTGACATTATAGTAGCCAGTTTGAACTCAATGGTGGTTACTTTCCTTGACTTTATACCAAAATCATGCTCTAGTCATCATGCTAATAAAGAACAAGAGGGAGAGTTAGAGAAGCAAGGAGGGTATTGATAATACAGTATAAGGAGATTTACAAAGGAACATCAACAAGTGACTTTGATTTGTGTATTAGTGGATTCGGTATCAAGAAAATTAAGAAGTAGGTGAATTGCTTTGCAAGCATTTCTTCTACAAAGGTTGCTTGGACAAGTGGTTTGATAACAAACACTTATCTTCCATAAAGGTTGCCAAAATTTAGTGCTACTTTAAACTCGATGGTGGTTATAGGATTTGTGGAAGATGAAATATAAGCATTGATGGCATCTCTTTTAGCTTAGAGTATGACTTGCAGAAAGAGATGGAAGAAGAGGGAGAAGAAGAACAGTTGAAGGAAAGGGAGACAATGGCATGCATGTGGAGTCAAAGTAAAAAATTTAATTGTCAATGGTTAGTCTAAATTAATGGTAGTGTAAGATTACACCCTTTTTGAAAGTTCTAGAGGAACATTGCTCTGAAAAAGGTTTAGAATAATAGGCACCCTTTGTGAAAAATTTCCAAGGCATTTTTGCAAATAGCCTTTTACTTTTTATTCACACTATGTCGAACAATTTCTCTTAGAATTTTTCAACACAACATGAAAGTAGTACAACAAAAACTATTTCAATTATACTTTCATGTGTATGTGTATTTGATACAAGGACTAAAAATAAGTATTGTACATGAATTAATCGTGAACTAACTTGGCAATATGTTATAATATAACATAATACCACAAACCTGATGCCACATAGATTATAGATCACGATAGGCTCTGACATATGATATTTTTGGATAAATAAAGCCAGAGTTATATAACATGAGTCAACTAGAGAAAGAAAAAGGGGTGAGGGGGCATGGCATCAAAACGTTATATAATTTTTGAATACAACATGAATAATTCATTAGAGCTATTCTTTATTAAAAAAAGAAAAAGAAAAAACAAGTATTGGTCTTGAATAAATAAACAACCATTCATGTATTGATAAGCAACTATACGTAAGTAACAAGCACTCATTTGTTAATGAACAACTTAGAAAAAAGGGTTAAAATTTATTTTTATCCCTAAACTATACCCGCAGGAGTACCTAATGTCCTATATTTTACTTTGGTTCAATTGACCCCTTAAACTTTGAAAATTGAGTTATTCAATATCCTACCATTAAATTGTTGAACATTGACTGTTAAGTGTATGTATGTTGACTATTTTTGCTTGTGTATATCTACATGTCACTTAGATCCTCCGCCTGGTAAATGAGTTAGATTTTTCTAAGAAAAAAAATTACTTCCTCTCCTTCTCATTAAACTCAACAACTACTTAGAAAAACTCGACAGAAATGATCAAGTCAAACTTAGAAAAGCAATTGAACCTTAAACTCACAAAGTTAACTTGAATCAATCAAATAATGTAAATACTATAAACTTACTTGAAGAAGAACCCAAAAGAATAACTTGAATCAATCAAACAATCTAAACAATATAAACTTCAGTACGTGAAGAAGAAATATAATCCAAAAAACAAACCCACAATTAAACCCAAAACAACAATTTGAACCCACATCAAAGAAATCAAAACCCACAACCCAAACTTAAAGGAAATTAGTGTAGATACAAAGATTGGAGGAGGGAGAAGCAAATCAAAAAGGAAGAAGAAATGCTTCAATGCAAACATTGGGGGTTCTTGACAAGCTATTTTAGAATGGTGCCACAAAAATCTCATTTTGGTCTAGTTCTTATTCATCTTTGTTTGGAAAATTGATGTGGGTTTCTCTTCGACCATGTGCTTTATCGACAGCAACACTCTCTTTCACTTCTCTCTGTTGTTGCTTCTGCTCCTCTCACTTTTATAGATATGTGAAGTCTCCAAATTAAAGTCCACTTGAGAGGTCCACTAGCATGCAAAGTCACCATATTGAAGGGAAGGAAGAAGCTGAAGTTGCTAGATTAAAGATGCTAGGAGTGAATAAGGAGAGAGGAGACGGTGAGGTAGAGGGAGAGGGGGTGAAGGTGTTCGAGCACCTAGATTTTTCCCTTAAGGATTGAAGCGTTTAGGAGAGTGAGGAAGAGAGAATTAAAAAAAAAGACTCACTTTGCCACATGGATGACACTTAGCTGAGGTTGGGTGACATGTGGTTGCCAACTTTGCAAATTTCTAGGCCCCACTTGCCTCACTTAACATCTATTAGCTTCAATTAATTAATAGCAAGACATTAGATGACCTACTTTTAAAAGTTTATGGGGTCAATTGAACTAAAGTAAAGTATAGGACACTAAGTGTTACTGAGGGTATTGTCTTAAATCTTAGAAAAAATGATAAGAAATGTTCAATTGTATAAGTATTGGTTATAAATAAATAAGTAATCATTCAGATTTTGACTAGTGATCATACATAAGTAACAAGCATCCATTCATTCATGAACAATTTAAAAGAATGATAGGGTGGGTAATAATTGTATAAGTGTTAGTTCTAAATAAATAAGCAACTATTGGGGTGTTGGCAAGCTAAGTAATCAAACATTAGTAACATTCATTCAAGCTTCAACCGTATTTCTCGTTTAGTTAACTGGGATAATTAGATATTTTCCTCCTAAATCTTATTTTCAGTCAAATCTTAGGGGGTATAGTGATGTTTCATAATTATAAAGTTCTTCTTTGCTATTTAAAAGTTACATCCTTAGGTGTGATATTTTTCCTTCTTTAATTATGAAAGGTATTTGAGTGAAAATTTTTAATAATTTTTTTAGAATTAAATGTAACTTCCCTAATTTAAGGGATCTAAAATCAAGTCCTTAACAAGGGATTTAAGTGAAATTCTCCCTTGAATAAAAAGCACCATCATTTTACAATGTAAATGACACACGACCCAAACAAAAGTCTCTATATGGTTGGTAAGATTGGGACTTGTTCAAGTGTTATAATTATAATAACAAGACAATGTTGTATAAACAAGGGGGACATGTACGTGGCTTTGTCTTATTTCTCAAGCTGAACATACTATGGACCTCGAATTATTATTCTACGTCAACTATACTAATTCAACGTCTAAAAAACTGTATGCATATATAATTAAGCATTATTTCATACCAAATTAATTCTCAAACATAATTTAAGAATTTTACAAACGGAAAAAGTAAAAGTAACATTATTATTCCACACTCAAACTCACGAGAGTGATATTATAATTTAGTATATATAAATGAAATTAAAGACAGAAGGCAAAGACATGGCTTCCTTGGGTAAAGAAGGGGATGAGGCCTAAAATATATCCATGACCAACGTAGACGCAGCCATTGTTGACGGACACGCCTCCATAGACAGTTGCATTAGTTCGGAAGGACCAGAGAATTTCACCAGTCTCTGCATTCATTGCATAAATAGGTCCATCTGTGTTTGCGGCTCCTGCGAACACAACACCATTCGCCACAGTAACTGGTCCGTTCGTGAAATTCCGATGAGGGTCCCCCGTGGCCCACAAAATTTCCCCATTGCTCGCATTCATCGCCACCCATCCACCTCCCGTTGTCGTCGTGTTTGATGGTACCAGGCTGAAGTTCTTGCCGTCTGAGTTCACAATGTTGGTGTAAACCCTTGCTCCGTCCGTTGCCGCACCCCATACTCCTCCTCCTATCGCACCACCAGGTCCAGCTTGCTGCATACATTAATATATATATATATATATGTATGAGTTCGTGTCGTAGAGAACTAATCAGCAAGAGTAGAGGAATAATTATATATTAGAGTGAATATATATGTAAAGTTGTCGAGTCATCACCGTGGCCCATGCGAGACTTCCATTGTTGCGATCCAAAGCCCATGCAATACCGCTCTTTTGGACAGCCACGACAATGTCTTGTTTGGTTCCGTTGGCATGATATGCAGTAAGAACCATGGGTGCCTCCCCGAAATCAGCATCCTCACCTACAGGAGGACAGTCAGGAGGAGCTGTTGGAATGGCACAAGCGAAGATCCCAACATCGTAACCTCCTAATTGACTGTACCATGTGATATTCCCGGAATCCAGATCGAGGGCCAGCATGGAGTCAGAGTGATTCTCGGGCTCAATACAAGCGTCTGGATCAACAGGCCCCGTTTGATTTAATTGACTTTCTTGGCACTGAATGATATGATCAGGGGCAGAGTACAGGTTTCCGGTGGCGATGTAGACGTGCTTTCGGATTGGATCAATGGAGGGACTGCTTCCCCAAATAGCAGCTCCTGCATAGCCTCCTCTCTGTTTATTGTTATCTGGAAGCATATAGGTCTGCCACAAGATGCGACCACTTCGAGCATCTAGTTTTGCAAGGCTCCCGCGAAATACGCAGCACTCGTCAAAGGGTAAGGCCTCTTCCTGTGACGATACGCCAACATAAAAACTCCTGTGTTGATTCCGTTCAAGATTATCAGATACAAATGAAATCATCAGAAACGATATATGTGTATATATATTTCAAGCAAAGCCATGTATTCATCAAAATCAATCTAGCTATCTGACTTTGTGACAACTGATGACTAACCCATTGTAATAAGTTCCAGACATGGTGATAAAAGCTACAGGGTGATTATCCAAGCGAGTCCACCAGACTAGCTGACCGGTTGATCTTCGAAGAGCCATGACAACAGCGGGGCCATAGATTCCAACAATAATCAAATCAGCGTCAGAGATTATGGTAGGAGTTGACCTTGAAAGGGTCCAATTAATATTAGGCAACGTCACGGTAGAATTGAACCCTGTTAAGTTTCCCACGTTTTGCTGCCAGACAAGAGACCCGTCGTCCTCTTTCACTGCATAGATGTTACCGTTTCTACTTGGAAAATAAAGAGTCCCGTTGAAAATGGCCGGAGTTGCAGAAACATCATCGCCAGTATAGAATTTCCACTTCAAAGAAAGTTTGTGAACTGTTTCAGGGCTGATCTTACGTTCCTTAGAGGCGAATCTTCTGTTGAACAAATCTCCACCATGATTCAGCCACGGCCTAGATAGTCCCTGTGACAAAGTGAACGAGTTAATTATTAGAAGAATTTTACACTATATATCTTAAGAGTTTTCAGGATCCCTTAATTTTACTACGATTTTTTCTTTAAAAGACGTGAGTGTAAAGCACAGTGAAAACTAAAAAGGCATGATCATACTTGAGATAATGCAGCAAGAGGACACAGCAAGAGCAAGCAAAGAAATAGATGAAAGGCGTTTTTAGAAGGCGCCATGAGGGTGGGTGACTGCTCCTGCATGCAGAAAGAATCAGGTTTCAGAAACTATGGGCTCCCCTACTTGTATAGGAAGGCAACCATCGATTGCGGTTTAAAAGAACCCATCTCCAATTTATTAATTTGCATTTGACTTTGATAAACATGTTAGAAAATAAAAATTACTATAAATTTGCGTAACGTATACTAATTAGCGGAGCATCTGACTGCCTAGTTCGCACACCAGGCATTCTTAATATATTCACGTTTGGATATCCTTATCTTCGCGTAAGCTAACCGAGCTAATTATTTAACCAAGTGTGGACCGAGAATAAGCACACACATATATTAATATATACGTGGTCTATTGAATATAACAATTCTTACTCTCTTGTTTTTCTTTGTAAAATTAAAATAGCTCCAAATCACTGTTCGCGTATCTGGAAATTCTGTAATTTTTAATGCCCCTCACGGCCTCAAACCCTTTGGTCTTCTGGAATTATCTGCACATATTATAATCTTCCGTTTAAAAGTGTAAAATATTTTTTTAATATAAAATGTTAAAAAATATAAAATATTTTAATACACAATTAATGAGATTTAAAAAAAGCCTTTATTTTAAGGATGTAATTAATAAAAATTTTTAATTGAAATACTTATTAAATAAATAAATTAAAAATAATGTATAATTTTAAATATATTTAACTACCAAAAGTATGAGGTAGTATTAATTTGGCTTTATCAACAAGCATCATTTGTCAAATCCTATCCTGAAGTTCACAGGTTTTCCCCCCCTACAAGTTATTGTACGGCATATAATCAAGTTGTCAAATTCCTATCATAAATGCTAATTCTGAAAAAGTTGTTTATTGTTGTTTACCAAGGATTTCCTCAAAGTAAACCTAATTCTGTATATTTATTTTGTGCGCTAATATTTTATTTTATCATGATCGAAGCAAATCATAACAAGACATTGATTAGATCTCTCGTTCATGTAAAACCTATGTTACATTATAATGAATGTTGACGAAGCTAGCTATATCCTCTCTTCTTTTTTAAGTCCCATTAATCATGATCTATGTGTTAGTTATAGGGACATGCACCAACAATTTGATATTACAAACATGAACCTACAATCTCTTACTTATAGAAAAGTTTACATGATACTGTACTACAAGTCAGCTTGCTTGCACTGTCATGTCATATATGTTGTCAATCTATGCTTATAGTCGTGATTAATCCACAATACTTAACTTTAGTCCCTATGGTTGTATCAAATACATATACTCACGCACCCAAAAATAAAGGTGAAATTGTTTTTATTGTACTTTTATTAAAATATATTAATTAATTTTGATTTGCCGTGTGCGTTTACGCAGGGCGCAGTGTTAATTGCCTTGCTCTTCATAATTTGATGAAACTGATTTTCTAAATTCGGAAGCTGTAAATTTCATGAAATTTGTCTTTTAGAAAGAGATAGAATATATTACGTTTTATAAAAATAATGGAATAAGAAAATTATAAAAAAATTCATGAAAAATAACTTAGGTTCTATTTGGTTATCAGAAGATTAAAAAAATTTATTAATATATAATATAGATGGACAAATTATCAGATCCTCTAACAATATTATGAATCATAATTCTCAAGCACATAAATTAAATTATTTCTCTTTTTTATGAATGTAGTTTACTATTTCTTTTGATCGTATCATTTTTAATTTTATTTTTTTAATATATTACCTATCATTCCTTTTTAGTAACCAAACAAGACCTTAATGTTGCTCCTATAATTTGAAGGATTAACATTTATTATTTATTTAGCGTGGAATTTACATAATTACAGAGACATTTGGATGGAGGTTGGTATTGGCGGAGGCAAGAATTAATTATCTAGAGAAAATGGCTCAATATTGCGTCTTTTTTTTTTCATTTTCTTTTACCTTAAGTTTGTTTGTGTCTTTTAATTAAGAGATAAAATAGAAAATGTAAAAAAAAATTCTTAGATATCAACTTTTAATTTAGAGAATTTACTCCCTTTAATTGCAATGAAATTGCAAGGAAAACGGCTTAATATGGTGGATAATTAAAAAATAATATACCATTTGCACTGACTTTGAATTAAGATTTTTTACAAAACAGAAAAAGACTTTGAATTAAGATCAAGGATTAACATAAACTAGCGTGAAGTATACTAATCAGGGGGAGTTACGTCAGAATTGGCACTTGCAATTGTTTACATTATTAGTTAGAGTTTCGTCAATAATACTTTTCTTCATGAATGATTTATGGAGAAAATTATCTTCTTAATTAATAAGTTTGATCCCAGTACTAATTATTGAATTTTTAATTATTTTCTCGTATTAAATTGAATTTAAAACTGAATCTGTCCTATATCAGAGTACATGTATCGTGCAATTCGCCGACACATTCTAATGTTGTTATGGCATTCGCCTGTTGAATAAATATTTCTGTTTAACGAATTTATTTTTGAAAAAAGTTATATAATAAACTTTATATATTTAAAATACTTGTTTTCAATTAAATCAAGAGATATATATCTTTTATAGATTATTTATTCCATAACAATCCCTTATTATTAATATTATTAACACATTAAAATTTACTTTTTGATTTAATTAAATAATGACTACATTAAATATATAACACTTTGTGCCTAAGTTTTACTTCTTTTTTTCCTTACCAGAACCGTTTAACTCGATTAACACATAACAAGTCATTAGTTTTTGAATTAAAATGGTTCCAAGCCTCCAACACATTACTGTCCTTCCTGTGTGTTTAGAAATTCTGCAATAGTGTCGCCCAAAAAACCAAAAAAAAAAAAACGATAAAAATAATTAGTTGACGGAGTTATGAAACAGGCTCTTAAATCTTAAGCTGTTTTAAGTAACTCAATATCAATCAATCGAGAAATGTCAACGCTGATTATAAAAGTTATCTAAACTCCGAATCCCATGTCATTTATGTATTGACAAAATTTTAATATAAGGTGGCCCTTACTTAGCATTTAAGTTATATTTCTCATATTTAAATCATTTTAATATTTTTTTCATTACTCGTTCTTCTTTGCAACCTTTTCCAGCCGCCAAAGACCCTTCTGCTTCCATGGCATCTTCGAGATCTATGGCCCTCTCCCATCTTCTCCTTTTTATTTCTGCCTTGTCTTTGCTTCAAAAACGGCATCGTACGTCCTTATCTGGCTTCCTTCACTTTTTTTCTCTAACACTCTTCAATCTCTATATCCTCTATCGATCTTGACGAACCCACCTCATCTCTATCTCTCTTTCTTGATTTCAATTTGTGTTTAAAACATAAGGAGATAGATTACTTTACACATCAAATTAATTTTTAAAGCCAATTTATGTTTAAAAATCTAAAGAACTGATATGATATGACCTTATAAATAAAAAAAACATAAGAAGATAGATTAATAAAAATTAAAACTGTAAGATTGAATTAAGTGATAACTTAGATGAAATCGAAGGACTAAAATTTGCATTATATTTTTTCCGCCTCAAAGTTATTCCACTGCATTTGAAGAATTTTTTTTGGCTATATACTATGGATTTATTGCCAAACTTGATAATAAAAGATTGTGTTTCAAGTAATGTCAAGCTATGTATTCATTAGATCTAGAATTTTGAAGGCACTCATGTCTCTCATGAGTGAAGCAGCCCAGATCTGGAATTTGAGGTGCTCCGATCCCACATGTGCGGAGCCAGTATTGGAGTTCATGCAAATTGAGATGATAATACTCTCATATATTATTCTAAATCTCGTAATTTCTATGCTGTATGCCTTATAATAATTTGACACGGTGATTGTAATTATCAGATGTTAATATGATTTAGAAAGTGGACTGGAGAAGGATTAAGTAATTGTAAATGAATTAAAAAGAAATAATAGTATAAATAAATAGAAGGTTGCATATAAGTTTTAATGAGGAAACAAATCCAGTGGGAGGGAAAAAGGACATGCAACGAAGAGCTAGAACTCCCATCATAAAAAAGCAAGATTACAATAAATATACGCTTCATTTATGATCATTGGAAAAGTTAAATGTATAAAGCTTCTATCAAACCCGAGGATGGTTATCTCGGCGAATAAATTTTTATCAAATCTCGACATCAATTGTAGCTGTGCCGTTGAATTTATTTTGAGCTATCCAGAGCTAAAGTCGAGAATAAAAGCTGAATTTGAAGGCATATTTAAATAAAAATTTAGACTTTAAAAATAAATTTTTTTTAAAGTAATCAAGCTCGAGGACTCGAACCTAATAAGTCTTATTAAAAAGAGCTTTGGCTCATGTGGCCCTTCAAGTTCTGTTATATTATTATTAATTTTTTTTAGTGGAACATGCATTTGAAATAGAGCCGGAAATAAGGGTCAGGCTTGAAGACCTTATTTAAATAAGGGTTTGAGCTTTGAAAATTAATTTTTTTAAAGTAACCAGACTTAAAGACCTGACCCTGATAAGCCTTGTAAAAAATAGCTTGGGCTTGAGCGGCCCTTCAAACTCTATTATATTATTATTAATTTTTTTTTGGTGGAACATGCATTTGAAGCCAAGAAGGACTTGCTTGCCTGAAGCCCTAATCCTACATGCATTATATTATTATTATTAATTTTAATTTATTCTAAAATTAATTTAATAAATATTAGTGTATAGTATAAAATTTCTAATATTTTTTTATTTTTTTATAATTATTATATTTGTGTATTTATAAAAAATAATTATTTTTTAACAAAGATTTGAATTTTCTTACTATACTTCTAAATGTGTGTGGTTTAATTTCTAAAAGATTATGAGAATTTTTATTTTTTTATTTTAAAATATTTTAATTAATTTATAATGCTTAATTTTATTTTATTTTTTTTACTTTTTTTAAAATAGGGCTTACGAGTCCGACTTTGAGCCCTTCAAATAAGGGTCAAACCTCAAAAAATGGGTGAAAAATAAAAAATTAGGTTTAAGGACTCAAGCCCTTATGGGTCGGGTCCATAAGGGCCGAATCCACCTATTTTTTCAATGTTAGTTTGAAGCCAAAGACCTATTCATCTAAAACCTTAATTTTACACACAT